AATGAATGATAAAAATCATACCGTCTCAATAGATGCAGTAAAAGCATTTGGTAAAACTCAATATCCACTGATCATAAAAACACTAAACAAAGTGGGCATAGAGGGAACATACCTCAACATAACAAAGCTCATATATGACAAGCTCACAGAGAACATCATACTCAATGGTGAGAAGCTAAAAACTTTTCCTCTAAGTTCAATAATAAGATAAGGATGCCCATTCTCACCACTTTTCTTCAACATTGTATTGGAAATCCTAGCCAGAGAAATTAGGCAGGAGAAAGAAAGAAAAGGCAACCAATTAGGAAAGGAAAAAGTAAAACTGTCAATATTTGTGTATGACATATTATACATAGTAAACCCTAAAGACTCCAATTAAAAAACAGAACTAATAAACAAATTTAGTAAAATTGCAGGATACAAAATCAATGTGCCAAAAATCTATTGCATTTCCATACATAAACTATCAGAAGGAAATTAAGAAAACAATCCTATTTACAATTGCATTAAAAATAATAAAATATCTAGGACTAAATTTAACAGAGGAGGCGAAAGTCCTTTACAGTGAAAACTATAAGACACTGAAAGAAATTGAAGAAGACACAAATAAATGGAAAGATATTCAATGTTCGTGGATTGAAAGAATATTAAAATGTACATACTACCCAAAGCAATCTACAGATTCAGTGCAATCCCTAATAAAATTCCAGTGACATTTTTCATAGAACAAATAATCCTAAATTCTGTATGGAATCACAATAGACTTTAAATATCCAAAGCAATATAGAGAAATAAGAACAAAGCTGGAAGCATCTCACTTTCTGATTTCACGCTGTGTTATGAAGCTATAGCAATCAAAACAATATGGCATTGGCATAAAAACAGACACATAGGCCAGTAGAACAGAATAGAGTCCAGAAATCAACTCACACATTTATGGTGAGTTAACTTATAACAGAGCCAAGAATATACAATCAGGAAAGGACAGTTTTTCCAATAGCTGGCTTGGGAAAACTGGACCACTATCCTACATGTACACAAAAATAAACTCAAAATAGGCTAAACATTTGAATGTAAGACCTGAAACCATAAAACTACAAAAATAAACTCAGGCAGTAAACTCCTTGACTTCAGTCTTGATGATGATTTTTTGATCTAACTCCAAAAGCAAAGGCAGCAAAAGCAAAAATAAAGAGGTGGAGCTACATCAAACTGAAAAGCTTATGCACAGCAAAAGAAATCAACAAAATGTAAAGGCAACCTACTGAACAGGAGAGATTATTTGCAAATCATATATCTGAGAAGGGTTTAGTATCCAAAATACATAAAGAACCCATTAAACTCAACAGCAAAAAAAAACCTAACAATTGAATTAAAAAATGACCAGAAAATCTGCATAGGCGTTTTTCCAAAGAAGACATATAGATGGCCAACAGGTACATGAAACGATGTTCAACATCCCTAATCATCAGGGAAATGCACATCAAAAGCATAGTGAGATATTACCTCACCCCTATCAGATTGAATATTATCAAAAAGACAAGAGATAACAAGTGTTAGCAAGGGTGTGGAGAAAAGGCAACCCTCTTGCGCTGTTGGTGGGAATGTAAATTGGTGCAGCCACTGTGCAAAACAGTATCGAGGTTCCTCAAAAAGTTAAAAGTAGAACTACCCTGGATGTTTGTCCAAAGAAAATGAAAACACTAATTTTAAAAGATATATGCATCCCTATATTTATTGCAACATTATTTACAATAACCAACATATGAAAACGACCTAAGTATATGTATTCAGCCATAAAAAAAAAAAGATTGAAATCTTGCCATTTGCAATAGTGTGTGTGGACCATGAAAGCATTAGGCTAAATGAAATGAGTCAGACAAACACTGTATGATCTTGCTTATATGTGAAATCTAAAAATAAAAATCGGTAAAGGGAGTCAAAAGTACAAACTTCGTATAAAATAATGATGATGATGATGGTATATTAAGTTTAAGTGAGGTTTGTTCCAGGAATGCAAGGTTGGTTAAACATTCATATTAAGAAACTATTAGTGATGATGAAAAATAGGCTGGCAAATGGTAAGCTCTCTACTCAAATTAAATGAGCTTACCCAAATAGTCACAGGCATAGCTGGACAGTGACATATGTCTAAGATGATGACAGATGCCTATCTCTATGAAATATTTGCAGTGGTGGAACAGATGATGTGTACTTGTTATAATCAGATGTGAAGAGAAGAGTTGGAAGATTCTGCACTAAACTAAAAAAGAAAAGATTCTTTCTGTTGCTAACTGCACAGCCAGATACACCTCCTCAGAAAGGGCACAGAAAGGGAAGTATTGCTCCAGTGCCAGTTTCAGCCACACATAGAAGCATCAGTGGTAGAGAATACTCTCTCACAATACTCCTTGGATTGTGGTTTTTAATATATACATTTTAAACTATTGGCCTCTGCAGTAAGATATGAAAAGGTGGGAGGATGATAGAAATATGTAGACCCGTATTACATATTTAGGAAAAATCTAGAGGTAATAAACATTAAAATTAATAAAAGTTTAATAGCTGAGTGCAACAGTAATTCTATATTAAAACAACTCCTGAAAACATAAAACATGTTTTTAAGTCATCTTAAAGGCTCATCAAAAGAATACCAAAATTGGGGTGCCTGGGGGGCTCAGTCGGTTATGCCTCCGACTTCGGCTCAGGTCATGATCTCGTGGTTCGTGATCACACGGATCCCGCATCGGGCTCTGTGCTGACAGCCAGCTCAGAGCCTTGAGCCTGTTTCAGATTCTGTGTCTCCCTCTCTCTGGCCCTCCCCTGCTCATGCTGTCTCTCTCTCAATCAGAAATAAGTAAAACATTTTTAAAAATAAAAAAAAATAGAATACCAAAATAATAAATGCTTCAGAATAAATTGAAAGATTTGTGTTAACATAAAAAAAATTCTTTGAAATAAAAATTCTTTTTTTTTTAGTTTATTTAGAGAGACAGAAAGAGAGAGAGAGAGAGCAAGGTCAGGGGAGGGGCAGAGAGAGAGGGAGAAGGAGAGAACCCCAGGCAGGCTCCACGCTGTCAGCACAGAGCCCCATGTTGGGCTTGACCTCGTGAACTGTGAGATCATGACCTGAGCAGGAACCAGGAGTTGGGAGCTTAACCGACTGAGCTACTCAGGTGCCCAGGAAATACAAATTCTTATAAAAATGCCAAAGCAAACCATGTGCCTGGTTAGAAAAGCAATTATAAATCTATGGAGTTATTTAGTTAACGTTATTTGTTAAAAGCATTGTAAAGTATACAGTTATTACCTCCATCCAGGCCCTGATCTCCCTGTAACCTATTCACCACACCAGCCAGAATGACCTTTTAAAACTGTAATTTAGAGGGGCGCCTGGGTGGCTTAGTCGGTTAAGCATCCGACTTTCGCTTAGGTCATGATCTCGCGGTTTGTGGGTTCGAGCCCCGTGTCGGGCTCTGTGCTGACTGCCAGCTCAGAGCCTGGAGCCTGTTTCAGAGTCTGTATCTCCCTCTCTCTCTGACCCTCCCCTGCTCACACTGTCTCTCTCTCTCCTAGAAATAAATAAAAAACATTAAAAAAAATTTTTTTAAACTGTAATTTAGAATATATTGTGCTCGCTTAAATTTTTCCAGTGGCTTACATTGTTTTGAGAATAAAATCCGAAACCCTTACCACATTCTATTCAGTGCTACCTGCCCTGCTCCTGGGCTGCCTTCCTAGTGTCACCATGTCACCACTCTGCCTCGCTCAGACACTTGAGACATAGTGAGCACAAACCTGCCCTTACAGCACACTAAGTTTTTGCTTTGAAGCCTCTGCCCTTCCCTATTTCCTGTTCTTTTCGGGCTGAGGGGCCTTCTCTAATCATTCAGTCTAAATAGACCCTCACAGTGAATTTCTACCAAGTCATGTGATTTTATAGCAATTGCCACTATTTAAGTTAGCTTATATATACTTTTTAATTGTCGATCAGCCCTCCTCTCCACTAGAAAGATAACTCTATATATATGCAGACGGCTTGATTACGAATTAACACAAGCAGAACAATTGATTGCTAGATATTTCAATTAGGCTCACCTCTGTAACTTCAGAACCTAGGACATTTTTCTGGAACATATTAGGCACCAAATAAATATTTCTTTAAGGAATGTTGAATGTCACAGAATGAATGTTGAAAAAGCATAGAATTCAAAAGCATAGAATAACATATATACCAAACCAATATGTTATTTTCAACTTAAGACTTATGTAATGTTATGTTATGTAAATATGTAAAATGACTTAGGTAAATAATGTCATTTGTTCAAAGACAGCTAAATAAAAATGATATAATTAAAATTATAAGAAGACAATGAAGGATAATATCTTCATAACCTCGGGGTAGAGAACTTGAGTTTTCTTTACATGACCATCTTCAAGCCACCCAGTTGGCTGCTCTGGAGCCTCTCGTTTCCAGTTCTTTGGTATCTTCTATGGATATTTTAAGTATATGTTTGTAAATTTGTGTTTCTGTGTGTTTGTGTTTATAGATAAATAGATGGATGATAGCTAGCTAGCTAGGTTCTTTTTTCTCTCTTTCTTTTACCAAATTGATACCCAGGAGTGAATTAGTAAATCTAGGGTTTAGCAACCTCTTTATCACAGAAGTCAGTTAGAATGGATTTCCAAACAGGGTTCTTAGATCTAAAATTTCATTTTACAATTAAAAAAGTAGGGATGCCTGCATGGCTCAGTGAGTTAAGCATCCGACTTCAGCTCAGGTCATGATCTCACAGCTCATGAGTTTGAGCCCCACGTCGGGCTCTGTGCTGTCAGCTCAGAGCCTGGAGCTGCTTCAGAGTCTGTCTCCCTTTCTCTCTACTCCTCCCCCACTCGTGTTCTGTCTGTCTGTCTGTCTCTCTCTCAAAAATGAATAAACATTAAAAAATAAAAATAATAAATAAAAAGTAATCTCTCTCTCTTCTCTCCCTCCCTTTCAGTATGCACAACTTTTAAGAGAAAGACTGAGAGAATCATTTCATGATGTTCAGTATGTAGAGCCTCCATTTGATGAGTCAATTGCTGATATAGGTAAAGAATGGAAGAGTGCTCTGGCAAAATTAAAGTTTGCTAATACATATAGAATGGAGCCATTGAAAAAATTCCAAGCTCACTCAGTGGAAACTAAAGTCCAGCAGATATTAGAGGTAGGTTGGTAAGTATGTATGATAGCAGTATCTTAGCTTTGGAGGTTTGATGAACTATATTAAGATTTATGACTATATACTTACCCTGATTGACTTTTTGTATTATATCTCTGAAAATATGAAAGTACTTTGTATTCATACTCAAGCATCTTCACATTGATGCTATGAGCTAGACTTAAAGGAAATATTCTTTTGTTATTTCATTCATCTCTTAATTATCCATAAATTATTTATCCCTCAGAGTCTATGCTTTCCTATATTTGGAGGAATGAGTTAAACAAAGCACACTGTGTACGTGTGGGAAGTTGGCTCCTGTATACTAACGCTTCTAAGGACAGGCAGCCGCCAATGGCGCATAGGTTTTCTTCTTCAAACTGACTGGAATCTAAAGTTCCGTTAAGACAGTTGTTTGAAACTCAGATACTTGTTTCCAGGATAGTCCAAAAAAGCTTCTTCAATTTTATGAACCGAATACTGTAATACTAACATTAATACAACATTGTTTATACTAGTATTGGTATCTGAAGGCTACATTGTTCAGATGAAGATAGTTCCTTCATCACATTTCTTAGCAAAGGAAAAAATATTTTTTACTTATAGAAAGTTTGAGGGACCACTTCTTTTCTTATAATGTTTTATTTATTTTTGAGAGAGAGAGTGAGAGAGAGCATGAGCAGGAGAGGGGCAGATAGAGAGGGAGACACAGAATCCAAAGACAGGCTCCAGGCTCCGAGCTGTCAGCACAGAGCCTGACGTGGGGCTCAAATCCATGAACCGTGAGATCATGACCTGAGCTGAAGTCGGATGCTCAACTGACCGAGCCCCCCAGGCGCCCCATGGGACCACTTTTTCCGAATCCCCTTTGTATCGGTGGCATCTAGTTCTGGGCACCAGGCACCCAGGCATTTTCTGATGGCTGGATTCCCCTGTGGGAATTCCCCTGTGGGATTCCACCAAGCCTGATTCTAACCCAGATCCGTTCCTTGTTTCAGTGTTACCTCCCCTCCAGTTTATGAGGTAAATTCCTTCAGTAACAACTGATGTGAGCTAGCTATTGGGAAGAAAGCATTAACTTATTTTGTATAAATGATTAATACTCCTTTAATCTTAGCAAAGTGAATTAACTTTTATGAATACAGAAGAATATTTAGGAAGCTACTCTAATCTCCCTCCACCTGTGTAGACAGATACATTTCTAACCTAAACTAATAATTGTCCGATACTGTTTGGTAATGACATTATGGCTCATAGCTTCAGGAAATAAAGAAATTCAACTCAATTTGATACATTAAAATAATTACTGATTACCTTCTTCTCTTATCTAATTAACAGCAAGCATATATGACATAAAAGTATACATGGTGTGTCCCTTGCTTGGCCTTAGCACATAGACTGGGTTCAGACTTATTGATTTCAAATTGTATTTACATATGATAATTTACAGAATTGCACTGAGCATGCAAGCGGCCTAAAACAGCGGATTGGATATGTAGGTGGGAAACTAGGGGTCATAAAGAGGCCAGGGACTTTCCCCTGGGTTCACGGAAAATCCAGCATTGTTCTACATGCAGAGATAGCGTATCCTGACGGAGCTTGTGGGTATCTTCCTATAGCAAGTACATGTCACTTCTTAAATAAGAGCATCTGAGTAGGCGAAGACTGGGGTCTGCTGGGCAGAGTCAGAAGAGAGAATGCATGTTACTAGGTGTTTGAGCGATAGAACCAGGGCCAAATGCCTGAGGGAAATGAATTCTTCGAGACCAGTTTTAGGTCCAGCGCCATTCTAGAAAGGAATCAAAAAACAAGAGCTACTTCTTTGGTTTTACCTGCCTATAAAAATAGCTGGTAGGAGTTCATCTGTGATTGTGGACCCAGAAGTATGGTTAATTCATCACTGGTTCACTGGGTGTTCCAATCCGCTTCTGGTTTGTAGGAAAGCCTTGTGCTTCCTGGCTCACATCCTTCTCCCCAGCTATCATTAATCCACAGCGGGCATGGCATGGTGCTCTCCATCTCCTCAGTGCTCTCCGGGAGCCCACAGAGACAGCAGTAGGGTGCGAAGCCATGGGGACAGGGTTGGAGAAGTGGCTTCAATTCAGGAAGACTGCAGAAGACAGGAATCGCAGAATACAGGCTCTGGTCCAGGAAGTCCAAGCTTGAGGAAAACTAAAGTCTGAGTTTTAGCAAATACGTAAATTATAGAAAGGTTTCCTTTGTCTACCCTAAGAATTCCCAGAAGCATTAAGATTCCCGTGTCTCCCTACTAACGGTTAGATGGGGTGATCCAGTGAAGGAAAACTTAACAGCCTCAGCGTTTGTAATGAAGAGCAATTGAATGTAATTGAAAACGAAAATAACTTTTATTCAACATTGTTGAAATAATTCGGTAAGCACAGCATTCATTTCATATCATTTGGTTAGGAACACATGTATTTATTGTAAGTTATGTGTATTATTTAGATACATGTTTTCTTGAATTTTTATGTAGAAAATATTTGGTTTGAAAATTAATATATTTTTTCTATTTTTTAAAGGAAAGTCTTAAAGATGTCAAATATGATGATAAAGTCTTCTCTCATTTATCACTTGAATTAGCAGACCGCATATTGTCAGCAGTGAAAGAATTTGGGTACCACCGTTACAAGTTCATTATAAAAGTATTATTTATTCAAAAGACTGGTCAGGCAATAAATGTAAGTACCATCGTGATCCAGCATCTATCAGTTATAGCTCTAAGATCTCCTCTGCGGTGATTGATCATTAATTGTGTTGCCTCCAAGGCAGTTCAAGACCCTGAGGTGCCTCTCTAATGAAGGCTAATTTTGTTAACTGTATCTTCTTTCGCTGCATGTTATTTGAAAAGTACTAACCCAGAAGTGGCAATTTTCTATTGATAATTTACTAAATTGTATGGCTATCCTGGTCCTTGATCATGCCAAATTTGACAATTTAATGTCATTTGATAATTAACCAGTAAGTTTATTTAGAGCACTAACGGGCGTTAGGCACTGAGAAAAAGAAAGAATGACGAGACATGGACCATGATTATGATTCTCAGGGAGTTTTCACTGCACTCAAGGAAAGAAAACAATGCAGACTGGAGTTGAAGAAATGGAATAGTGAGGACGGGGTTGGGGGACACCTGGGTGCCAGAGCCCAGCCAGCCTAGTATGAACCCTGGCAGCGACAATCACAGCCCGCGGCCCGGCTCTTCATCTATAACACGGGGGTGATAGATACCCCTCCTGGCTGGAGCTGCTCCAAGGATGACATGAGAGGGGCCACCTTACAATCCTCAGCGTGCTCTCCGGCGCAGAGTCCCCAGGAATCAGCAAGCCTGGTCATCTGCGAATGCGAATGCACACCTCTGAGCCACGCAAGAGTGCACATGTGGCAGCGGCACATCTGGCATGCACAGCTGGAGGGAGCTGCGTCGGAAGCGGGCAGGGGGGTGCCGGCCACACGAGTCAGCAAGACAGACGTGGTCCTGGCTCCTGGCGAGAAGAGAATGCCCGCATGCTTCTAGATGGTGATCAGTGCTCCCGAGAGAAAGTTCAGTAGGACAGTTTGATAGAGTGGCAGAGCGGCCACTGGGGTTGTCTGCAGACAGGGAAGTCCCCCTAATATCTGAATGACAAGGGGAAACCAGCTGTGCCAGGGACCAGGGAGAAGACCTGCAACCAGAGGAAACATGAGTGCGAAGACGCTAAGGCAGAGGGACCTTGGTGTGCTTGGTGGTAACCTGTGTGCTTGCAGTATATTTCAGTGGTGGAGTTGGGTATGATGTGTATCAGTGACAGGACCATACGACAAATCAGCCCAGGATTTAGCTTAAAAACATTTGTCTGCTCATCATTCTGTGGGGCTGCCCAGATGCACTAGCTGGTTTTCCTGCTGGTGTCCCTGACGCCCTGCTCACTCTGCTGTCTCCCTGATGTCCTGGCCCCCTGGTCACTCTGCTGTGGCCCTGATGCCCTGGCCCCTGGTCACTCTGCTGTGACCCTGATGCCCTGGCCCCCTGGTCACTCTGCTGTGGCCCTGATGCCCTGGCCCCTGGTCACTCTGCTGTGTCCCTGATGCCCTGGCCCCCTGGTCACTCTGCTGTGGCCCTGATGCCCTGGCCCCTGGTCACTCTGCTGTGACCCTGATGCCCTGGCCCCCTGGTCACTCTGCTGTGGCCCTGATGCCCTGGCCCCTGGTCACTCTGCTGTGACCCTGATGCCCTGGCCCCCTGGTCACTCTGCTGTGGCCCTGATGCCCTGGCCCCTGGTCACTCTGCTGTGTCCCTGATGCCCTGGCCCCCTGGTCACTCTGCTGTGGCCCTGATGCCCTGGCCCCTGGTCACTCTGCTGTGACCCTGATGCCCTGGCCCCCTGGTCACTCTGCTGTGGCCCTGATGCCCTGGCCCCTGGTCACTCTGCTGTGTCCCTGATGCCCTGGCCCCCTGGTCACTCTGCTGTGGCCCTGATGCCCTGGCCCCTGGTCACTCTGCTGTGACCCTGATGCCCTGGCCCCCTGGTCACTCTGCTGTGGCCCTGATGCCCTGGCCCCTGGTCACTCTGCTGTGTCCCTGATGCCCTGGCCCCCTGGTCACTCTGCTGTGGCCCTGATGCCCTGGCCCCTGGTCACTCTGCTGTGACCCTGATGCCCTGGCCCCCTGGTCACTCTGCTGTGGCCCTGATGCCCTGGCCCCTGGTCACTCTGCTGTGTCCCTGATGCCCTGGCCCCCTGGTCACTCTGCTGTGGCCCTGATGCCCTGGCCCCTGGTCACTCTGCTGTGACCCTGATGCCCTGGCCCCCTGGTCACTCTGCTGTGGCCCTGATGCCCTGGCCCCTGGTCACTCTGCTGTGACCCTGATGCCCTGGCCCCCTGGTCACTCTGCTGTGGCCCTGATGCCCTGGCCCCTGGTCACTCTGCTGTGACCCTGATGCCCTGGCCCCCTGGTCACTCTGCTGTGGCCCTGATGCCCTGGCCCCTGGTCACTCTGCTGTGTCCCTGATGCCCTGGCCCCCTGGTCACTCTGCTGTGGCCCTGATGCCCTGGCCCCTGGTCACTCTGCTGTGTCCCTGATGCCCTGGCCCCCTGGTCACTCTGCTGTGGCCCTGATGCCCTGGCCCCTGGTCACTCTGCTGTGGCCCTGATGCCCTGGCCCCCTGGTCACTCTGCTGGGCTGTGGGTCCAAGATGGCCTCACTCCTGTGTCTGACAGCTGGTGCTGGATATTGGTTGGGGCACCTGGGATCTTCGGCACATGAGCCACCATCATCCAGTGGACTGAGTGGGTTTCCTTATGTGGGGGTCTCCTCACAGCGCTCTGAGGAGGCTGGAGCAGAAGACCTCTGACACTTTAATGCAAAGTTACCCGTCACATTCTTTTGCTCAGAGTAAGTCCCAAGGTGAACTCGTACTCAAGGGGTGGAGAAATAGACTCAGCTCTGGGAGAAGACACAAAAGGTTTGTGGCCATTTAGAAACAACATGAAAAGTAGACTGTAGTAAATTGTGTATGGCTTTGTGAGCGAAGCAAAGGATTTAGAATTTTCTCCAGCAGCTAGCCATTCCTTTATTTCAGAACAAGGTTCTGACAAACTTTCTCTGGAAAATACTGTAAGGACGGAAAGAAAAATTCATGGACTATGACACAGAGGAGAAGTAGTGTATGCAGAAGCCTTAGACCCAGTTTACAGCCTCCTGCCCCAGGCACTCTCTGCTAAGGTCGAGTCTTGGGGAGTCTCCACGTCAAATAGGTCTGGCTCCAGGGAGAAGAGGGGGCCTAGGAAGCATCGCTGTTAAGACTTCAGGAAAGGGGAGATAGGACAAACTACTTTTTAAATATCACTTTCTAAGATACTTATGCATCTTTTAAAAACATATCAAATTTATATAGACTTAAAAATTATTTCTTAACATGTTCAATCTAAGGTTGGTCTTTTGAAATCGGTCTGTCACAGATTGCCAGCAGATGGATCTGGGACGTGACATGGGACAGCTGGGTTGCTGCGAAACACGAAACGGAAACGTACGTGGCCTTGGCCCTGGTGTTTGCTCTTTATTGTGAGTAGGGCGTGTTTACTCCTCAACTTTGCAGAGACACAGGACATCTGTAGACCTGTGAATCTCACAGCAGGCATTGACTCCCTACGCTTTGGCCTCCTGTTGAAGCTTCGTTGTATTATTTTAACAACAAACAAGTAAAAGCTGGATTTTTTTTAACCTCTGTAACTTCCTAGTTATCATATTTATTCACGTTCTGTTACCCTAAAGTATAAACGTATGAATGATACATAGAGATAGATATGAATATATAAGTGCTTAGACTCTAAGGGGAATTATCTAGCATTCTTGTTAGATTTAAGACAATCAGAATTTGCTAGAGGAAATTATGACACAACCTTGTAAAGTGTCAAATTAAGTAAATGTTAAAATAGATTTTGGAAAACTTCTAAAGGCAGATGTATTTCTGAGTGGTATTTTGCTATGTTGCATGCATTCTCTTGACAGGAATTACCAAATTTGAAAGAAAGACATTAATGTATTTAACACATCCCTAACCAATCAAAATGCTTAAAATGTGTTGGTATTGGTATTCTACTTGGTAGTCTGTTAGTTAAGCTCTTTTCAGATGCGGGAACTGAAACACCTATTCCAATTGTTTATTTAAAAAAAAGAGAGAGAGAGGGGCACCGGCGTGGCTCAGTTGGTTGAGCATTTGACTGTCAATTTTGGCTCAAGTCATGATCTCACAGTCATGAGATTGAACCCCATGTCAGGCTCCATGCTGAGTGTGGCGCCTGCTTGGGGTTTTCTCTCTCTCCTCCTCTGCCTCTCTTCCGGTTCTCTCTCTCAAAAAAAAAAAAAAAGGAAAATTTTCTTTTCCAGGTACTAGACCAGGCATCCATGGGTTTCTGTCTTTCCTGTCTCCCCCTAGACTTTTCTGCACATTTGTTTAACTGAATATGATTTAATCATGTTCTTATCTGTGACTAGATGGGTCAAGTTCACTCCTTGGGGCTGGGCCTGTATGCCCTTGCTGAAGTACCCACCCACGTGAAAAGAGTAAGTGCCCAGCACTTGCCAGAGCTCTGGAGCTTAACTAAGTCCTAAACTTATGATCTGGTGATGCCTCAGGCTTCCGTTCAGCTTTGCTCTTTCTCTTCTCTTCTCCCAACCCCCGATGTATTCACTTGTTAAATTCCATAGACTCTGATTTTCTGACGTGACTCAAAGTCGCCCTTATATCTCTTGTCTGGGTCCCCAGATCCCCCCCATCTATTCCAGCACCCCTTTCTTTCACACATTCACTTGTGGAAGGTTTTGTTCAACCGCACCCCAAGTCCGCCATGTCGCAGGCCTTGTGTGAGGTGCGGGACGTGGAGCAGGGCGCCTGGACCCCATCGCACTGGGGGCCCTTGAGGAAGGAGTGCGCCTCGTGAAGACGGCGCTCCTGAGGATGAACCGGGGAGCGCACTCTTGGCCTCACACAAAGACTGGAGGTGTAGACATCTGCGTGTCACCCCCGGGCCGGGTCCCCTCAGTCATCTCGGCTGCCTACTCTCGTGGGTCTGATTCTCTGATTCTCGAGGGCAGAATACTGCCATGTTCTGAGGTTTAATGGGTCCCAGGTGCCCGTGAACACCTCTGACCCAGGAGTGCTCCTCTCTGCTGCCCCCACCGGACCTCCCGTCGTCAGGCTGCCGTACATGCCCTCCTTTGTACTGCCCTCGGGTCTCCTCAGGTTCTGTGAGGGCCTCCCTCCGCCCGCCGCCCCTCCCCCAAACCTGACGGAGTCCTGTACCCGGGGAGCCTCTCCCTGCTGGCAGCCCCCTCTGCGCGAGCCACCAGAAGGGGGCAGTAACCCTGCGGCCCCAGGGTCAGGGCTGTCACTTCTGAACCAGTTTCCCAGTGTCCTTAGGAGCCCAAAGGACGAGCCACCTGAGATGTGACTAGAGGTTGCTTCAGCCCCTCGAGAAATGTGCACCTCGCTGATCTGACTTCCTGCCTCTCACAGCTTCTCGCGTGGCTTAGCGGCCTCCCTTTGCAGGCTTCCCGGGGCTCCCCCGTGTTCCCAAGCTCTCCTCCACAGGTATTTTGAGTTTCTTTTGCTTAATAAGGCCTGGCTTGTCCCCACGGCAGAGTCCCTGTGCTGTGGAAGGGAGACTGAAGGAACCACCAGACCAAAGAAAAAGGCCTCGCCCGGCCTGACGAGAGAGGGTTTGTGAAGGGGACGTGCACACGGAAGCCTGTCTTGGGGGCCAGGGGACAAGTGGGTCTTCGTGACCCTGCCTTCCTTAAGCCCTGTCTTTCTAGCCCTGGGGGCTGTGTGTACGCGTGGGGGACCGGCCAGGGGGAGATGGCTGAGAATTTGTGTGTCTCCTAGTCCCGCTTCTAGGCCGGAGCAGGCAGGTGGGTGGGCGCCCGAGCGTGAAGGGGTGCGGCTGCACAGAAGGAAGAGCAGGCCGGCGGGGCTGTGCTCCAGAAGACTGCAGGTGGCAGAGCGGTCCTCGAGGTGGGCTCGTCCAAGATGACGTCGGTCTGGCCCACACCCCCCACTGCACCCCCACCACAGCCCCTCAGGCGAAAGCTGCCGGAAGGTCCGGGGAGGGGGCCCCTCTGACCTCCAACCACTCTGGCTCCTGGCAAAGCCTGCTGTGTGGGTTCACACTGCTTCACACGCCCCACGGCCCCTGGACGTGAGCTAAGGGACCCCTCTGGTCCCCATCTCCACTTGACTCCTGCTGCCATTCTTTGTGACTTTGATACCACACAGATAACCGTCCGCTAAGGCAGTCCCCACCTGGGCACCCTCTGCTATGCACACGCTTTAATTGCCACAGCGCAGTTCAACGGCACCAGTCCCCCACCAACACGGGTCAGAGCTCGGGTGCCGCGCCACGTCGACCGGGTGACTGCATCGCCTACCAGCCTCACAGCCAGTTCTCAGACCACAGGTTATGCGTGAATGACTGACAGGCATCACGAGCCCCGTGCAAAGCCTGTTGGTGACTGGTGACCGCACTTCAGTTATCTGGCGGGTCAGGACAGACACAGGCAGCAAGCGTGTTCTCGTACTGCCTCCTTGTCCACAGCCACAGACCTACACGATGCTTTACAAAACTGAGCTGTCGAAAGAAAATTGTTTTACGTTAAAATTTTATTTTATAAAATTTGCCAAAAAAGTTGAAAGGGCATTAAAGAAGTCAGAAAATTGGATGTAATTAGGAAATTTGAAAATGGCGAGAGCGAAGCGAGCTAGGAGGAGACCTAAGCCTGCAGGAGGCGCTGTCGGAACCACAGGGAGAGAGGCCGGTGAGTGGAAGAGACATGGCAACGTGGGACCCACACCTTTGAGTTTAAATTGCTCTGCTTGAGGAACAGAAAGCCTTTCTTCTACTTTGGAAGGAGGACCAATGATAACTGATACGGATTCTGATACGACTACTACTAAATCCCAATCAGTTTGGCCGGCGTTCGGGCCCAGGGCGCATGTGAGCTGCCGTGCTGAAGGGGCGCTGGGTCACACGGAGGGGCCGGTGAACAAGCTCCGACCGCAGTAAAGTCCGGTTTCATCGTCTTGGGGCTGCGCGAGGCCCGGTTAGCGCTGAGCCTCCCTGTTAAGCTGCGGGCCCAGACCACGGCCCTGCCGGGGAACCCCACCCGGATTCCACACGTCAGGTCAAGCAGGTGGTCGTGACAAAGGGTGAAGGTGTCTCAGGAAGTGACTGACTCTGATAACGACTTCACATTAAAGACACTTAGAGAGACTGTACGACATTGAAACTGCAGGCTGAGTTATCAAGGCCCAGAAAAGGGAAGTTGTTGTCTGAGAAGGCAAGCACTGCTCAAACTGGTCCTGCTAAACTTTTTACACAGAAATTAATGACAAATTTCCAGGGTTGCTTATTAAAAAAAATTTTTTTAATGCTTTCTTTTTTTTTTTTTTTTTACAAATAGTTTATTGTCAAATTAGTTTCCACATAATATTTACTTCTGAGAGAGAGAAAAAGACTGCATGAACAGGGGAGGGTGAGAGAGAGGGAGACACAGAATCCGAAACAGGCTCCAGGCTCTGAGCTGTCAGCACAGAGCCCGACGCGGGGCTCGAACCCACGAACCGTGAGATCATGACCTGAACCGAAGTCAGACGCCCAACCAACGGAGCCACCCAGGCGCCCAGGGTTGCTCATTTTAAAATACACGGTACTAAATTAATAATAGCTTTACAATTAAAAAAATAATAGCTTTACGACATTGACAGTTGGCAGTAAGGGAGTTTTAAACGTTTTCCCCAAAGTTTTTTTAAGCCATGGGATAATTGCAGTTTTTCTCTTTGATTGTTAAGATCACTTTGCAGGACTTCAGCCTCTGTGCTCTCAGGAAAACTAGGACGTCTATACTCTGGCTTCTCAATTCCTTGGCCACTCGCCCTGAGTGACCTTTTCCTGTCGCCCACGTAGGTCACCCGCCCCGGGCTTCATCCTGTAGCCTTCGCCACCATCAGTGATGTGGGAAACAAAGGCAGAAAGAAACGGAGACGGAACTAAATTTCCTCAGAACCTGTGGCCCAATGACAGCGACCCCTCCAGGAGCCCCCGGGGCTAACGCTTTGCTGGAGGGAAAACCCACCTGAGCCGGACAGCAGCAGGGCCTCAGGCATCTCAGGAATCCTCTTCGCACATGAAAGCCCTTCTGGAGGCCTCCCTTTTGCCTTCCCCTCCCTAAACTCCCAAGTGTGTCAGCATCGCTCCTCAGGACCCCAGCGCGGCTCTTGCTGCCCACGGGTCCTTCCCTGCTTTAATAAAACCACCGTGTGGCACCAGACACGTCTCAAGAATTCTTTCCTGGTCATCGGCTCCCTCCGAACCTCACCAGTCAGTATCAGCGTGACCTATGAAATCTCAAATTCTAGCCGGTTATTCTCATGCAATCATTTCCTGTCCCTAGAGCTCAGCACCTATAGAATCGGACTGAAGTCTGTCCATGCTCTTCTCCAATAGCAAATTGTTAGAATTTGCCCTTCTTCCTCATCTGGTAAAACCCTTGTGAACGAAGAGCATATCCACTTCGGACCAGCCGGAATCCAAGCAGCTAAATGTGACCGAGAACCTGGAAAAACCAGACCCACTGGTTTCACTTCTAACCTCTGGACACAGACCTCCAGCGGGCGAATGCCCTGGCCGCCCAGGAACCCGGCACCCCTGCTCTCTGCACCTCTTGCCTCCGACTTCCTACATTCCTCTCCTCACTCTCAGTTTTTCGTTCAGGAAAGGAGACATATCAGAGGAGAGTCTTCCAGGCTCTTCACCACCCAGTCTCAAACCCCACGTGCGTCTGCAGCCACATTGTGTTTTTTAAGTCGTCACAGTGGATGGATTGAGCTTCGTGCTGTCAAGGGTTTACCGGCACCTGTGCTGGCTTCTGGCCTTCGCAGAGCTGCTTCCCAGCCTCCCTCCTTCCCTCCCCGCCTCCCTCTCCCCTGCACTGTGACTCCACCTCTGCTCGGCCTCCTCAAGGTGCGAACAGGCTCCTGTCTCACCTTACAGACCACGCCCCACCTCCCAGCGCCCCCTTTCTCCCGCGCTCCTTCCGGGCTCCCTCCTCAAGGGGCTTCCCGCTAGTTTCCGAAGCTGTCACTCTTGAGACACCTCCAAATAATTAAGTTTGCTAATTTCCCCCAGATTGCTAAATACACTGGACATTTTTTTCTCGTCATCTTATTCAAACTCTCATTTGACACGAGCCCCTTTTTTCGAAACACACAGTCCTCCCAGTTTACACTTAGTTTCCTGCTCCTTTTCTTTCTTTCTTTTTAGTGTTTATTTATTTTGAGAGAGAGAGAGAGAACGAGAGAGAGTTTCCTGAGCAGGCTCAGTGCTCAGTGGACACACTGACGTGGGGCTGGATCCCACGACCGGGAGATCATGACCTGAGTTGAAATCAGGAGCCAGGGCCTAACCCACTGAGTCACCCAGGTGCCCCCTGCTCCTTTTCTGCTTTTTTTCAGCCTCGTACACAGTAAGGTAGTATTTGATGAGTGAATGAATGCTTCTTTATACTGCTAGCTAACATAATTCTTAGTTCATAATTGCTTTCCATAACGTGCAAAATAATGCAACGGACATTATTATTTTAATGCTACAAATGAGGAAATGGAGGGTCAGAGAGATGAAAAATTTACCCATTACTGATCACACAGCTATTAAGTGACACAGTTGGTATCGAAACCAAAATCTTAACTCCTAATCATTATTCTCACCATTGCATCATACTGGTGCCCTGTGTATTTCACTCCTAATTCCTGGAATCTGCCTTTATTTACCCCAATCTCAAGCCATATTTGGAATGGTTGCTGTACCTACATATGCTTCCTATTTTTACCACTCTCAGTCTTTTTCAGGCTTAAAACCCTATTTCCATTTCCAGTCGTGTATTTCCTTGTAATTGTCCTACCAGTCTCTCAAGATACTTTTCAAATTCTGTGCCAACCTTAAAATCTTAACTTTTGTCCTTGCAAGTAAAGTGTCTCCTATCTAAACTGCCTTTAATAACATTTATATATTTGTATCATATCTGGTGTTGACACTGCCCACGGGCAGGGACTGTGCTCCTTAGCACGCTGCCTTCCCGTGCGTGCTGAAAGGCCGAATCACTATGTTTTGACTTGGAATGAAGAGTTTTAAATTTGTGTCTCATCTAGAGACAGAATACCCAGGGGAAAGGAGCGGACCCGAAATAGTTGAATGTATAGATATAATGAATGTATAGTTGTATAACACGTATCATATATTCAGTTGTATTCTGAATATATATATTTGGCTATACATATTTATTGTTCAAATCTATCTGGAGAATCTGAGGGACGGCCTTGATCAGTTAAGAGAATTTGGGAGTTGTTGATTTTTCCTGGGGTTCTCAGACAGGCTGTTTTCTTCAGAGGGCAGGGAAATAGGGAGCTGGTCTGACCGAGGTTGTGAGTGAAAGTAAGGCTTAGCTCAGGAGCCATTTGTGAATCTTGAGCTGTTGGTGCCATTTCTTTTCTGATGGGGTGGAAGTCAGGAGCGGGTGAGCTGGAGAGTCAAGGAGGGTCCTCTGTATTAAGGCCATGGCCTAGAGGGAGTGGGAAGGGTCGCCTGAGCGTAAGCGGAGACAATGACAGGGAAGCCGTGTGGCACTACATCCCAGGGCCTTTGTCTGTTGCCTTGAAACAAACCATCCACACTCTCAGCTAACAGTGTCTGCTGAGATATTAGGTCAACTTTTAAGAAACTTCCGGTACCCTTGTCATCACAACTGCCTGCCATGTTCTTTAAGGTTGGGGCCCAGAGCTGTGTGAGAAGTCCTCGCGGCGACCAAGCGGAGTGTAACAGCCAGGGTTAGTGCCTCGGGGTGTCTCCTACGCAGGCCTCCGCGGCGCTAGTGTGTACGCCCTCGGCAACAGCCCACGGTGCGAGGAGACACGAGGGGATGATCCGCCCAGGCGGTGCGGCAAGCAAGGCTGGGGAGGGCGGGGCGGCCGCGGCCCTTCTGGGCAGCTGACCAGCCTCGGGGGGGCCCGGGCCAGCCTGCAAAGCACGGCTCTGGGTGCGGGCCCTGCCCACCTGCCTGCCTCCCTAGGGCCTCAGGTGCAGAGCACATTCCAACCCCAAATTACACGCGTGCAAGTCGAATTCCAGCCACGCTTCCGCGGTAGGATCTCCACCGGCCCCGAGGTGGCTGCGCCTACGCTCTCGGGCGCGGGCCGCCGAGGGGCCCCGGGAGCGCACGCGCCCCAGGGCAGGTGGCCGGGAGCCGCGGGGAGCGCGGGGCCGCGGGCACAGAACAAAGGCGGCGGCGGGCGGGGGCGGCGGCCGAGGACCGAGAGCCAGGAAATGGGCGAGGGCGCCGACCGCCCCCCGAGGCCGAGCCCACGGGGGCGGTGCCCGGGCCAGGGGAGCGCGCGGGGAAGGGGGCGGGTCGCTCGGGATTGAGGGGGAGGGGCGGCCGCCCTGGGGGGGTGAGAGCGACAGACAGAGAGCGAGAGAGCGAGAGAGCGAGAGAGAGCAGGACGGGGATCCCCCTGAGGGGGAGCGTGTGGAGGCAGCGGAGGGTCCCTCGGGTGAAGGGAGAGGGGCGGAGGGTCCCTCGGGTGAGGCAGGGGTGGGCCGGCGGGGACCCCCCTGCAGAAGGGAAGGAGGCAGCGGCGGGTCCCTTGGGGGAGGCCGGGGTGGGGGGAGCGGGGACCCCTGAGAGGAGAAGGCGGAGGGGCTCACGGGTGAAGAGGGAGGGAAGGGTGGCGGGGACCCCTGGGGGGAGGGGTGGAGGCAGCGGAGGGTCTCTTGGGTGAAAGTCGGGGGGGGGGAGAGGAGGCGGGGACCCCTGGGGGGACGAGGCGGCGGCAGCCGAGGGACTCAAGGTTGAAGGGGGGGAGGGGCGGCGGGGACCCCGGGGGGAGGGGTCGGAGGCCGCGGAGGAACCCTGGGGCGGGTAGTGGGGGAGGGGCTGCGGGGACCCCCGGGGGTCGGGGGCGGAGGGTCCCTCAGGTGAGGTGAGGAGATCCCCTCCTGCAGGGGGAGGGGGCGGAGGATCCCCCGGGAGAGGCGGGGCGGCCGCGGGGACCCCCGGGCGGGGCGGCGCGGGCGCGGTGGGAGGAGAGGGCTGACGTGTGGCGGGGCCGGGCCGGGGGCCGCGGGGAGGGGGCGGCAGCGAGCGCGCCAAGCGGCGGCGGCCCGGGGCGGGGCTGGGGGCTGAGGGGACGGCGGGAGGTGGGGCCGCGGAGAGCGCCGGGCTGCGGCGGGCCGGGCGGCGGGGCGGCGGCGGCGGCGGCGGCCGGAGGACCGCGCGGGGCCGCGGCGGGCGGCGGAGGGCCGGGGGCCGAGGGCGGCCGCGGCGGGCGGGGAGCGGGCGGCGGAAGGGCGCGGCGCGCGGGGCCTAGGAGCGCCGGCGCGGCGGGGGCGGCCGAGGCCGGCGGCCGGGGCGCGGCGGCGGAGCGGGCCGGCGCGGCTGAGGCGCGCGGCCGGCGGGGCTGAGGCGCGCGGGCCGCCGGCGGCCTCCTTCCGCCCCCTGGGCCGCGGCGGCCCCGCGGCGCGCTGGCGGCGGCCATGGCGGTGGCGACGGCGCTGGCGGGCCGCGGGGCGCGCGGCGGCAGGGGCCGGCCCCCGGGCGGCGGCGGGCGGGCGGAGGGGGCGGGGCCCGGGCGGCGGGCGGCCCGCGCGGCGGCGGCGGCGGCTGCGGCGGCGGCGGCGGCGGCCGGGACGAGGCGGCGGCGGCGGCGGAGGCGGCGGCGCGGGGCGCTCGGGCTGATGGCGGCGGCGGCCGGCCCCGGGACGGCGCTGTCCCCGCGGCCGTGCGACAGCGATCCGGCCACCCCCGGAGCGCCGTCCCCGAAGGTGAGGAGCGGCGCCGGGCGGGGCGGGGCCGGGGGACGGAGGCGGCGGCGGGGCCGGGCCGGGCCGCGCGGTTCCCGCCCGGACGGACCGCAGGCCGCGGCGCCCCCCCTCCCAGGCCTCCCCGCTGCCTCGTCGTCCCCCTGAGGTGACGGGGAGAGGCCTGGCCCGCGGGTGCGGGGTTCGGAGCGCGTCTCGCGGAAGCGGCCCCGGGGCGGCGGCCGGTCCGGCCTCGTGCGGGGACGCGGGCCCGGTGGGCCCCCCGGGCGCCCCCGCCAGCACCCCCTGGAGTCCGCTAAGTGGCAGGAACTGAGCGGCGGCTGCGGCGGCGAACTTACTTTACCGCCCGAGTGGGCGCAGCCCGGCCGAAGGCTTGTGCGGAACTGCCGGGGGCGGGGGGGGGGCGCCGGGGGGGCGCCGGGGGGGGCGGGGTCCGGGGCACCCCCTTCCCTGGCGC